TGCATCGGTGCTGGCAACATGAATCTGGTCCGGTTCTACGTCATTCGTGAGCTTGGTGCTCCATGAATCTGGTCTGGTTCTCCGTCATTCGTGAGCTTGGTACTCCTTGCTTCGTGAGGTTGACACTACTGACTGCTTTGTGCGTGAGCTTGGTGCTACGTGAGTTGAGTTGTCCTCCGTGGCATAGCATTGCTGCTAAAGGATTGGAAATGTGTAGAGGACTGTTAGGGCAAGGTTTTGCGGAATTTAAGACTGGATCCCCCCCCCCCTTTCCCTTCCCCTCCCCGCTCTGCCTCTCTGGACAAGCTACTCTCTCAAGGATGCATCTGACTGCAATTACGACTACATGCGGATGATGTTGAGATCCGACGGAGAGGGATTCGAACACATGGTGATGTTGAGATACGTGAGAAAAACGTGTTCGTGAACTTTGAGGCGCTGTGTACTACTACTGTATTGTGGGACTTCGACGGCTGCGCTAGCTAAATCGACGCCGGCGGAAGACTTGCACATGGGGTCGATTGATCGTTGTCGGCTGAAGGAGAAGGATCGTCGGCATGGCTAGCTGAAGTGAGTCTCCATTTCTCAGACCTCCTCGCTCCCTCCCTACAACCTCACTCCTTCCGTCTGGCCGATCTCCGCGTAATCTCCCCTGACTCCCTCCTCCTCGCCGCCCTCTCCGGAACCCCCCTCCCTCCTCCCTCCTCCCTCCTCCCTCCTCCCTCCTCCCTCCGCTTTCTTTCTCCTGTCGTCCACTGCCTTCCCTCCTCCCTACCTCCTCCCTCGGCCGTCGGCCCTCCGTCCTATCTCGTTCCTTCCTTCCTCGGCCTTTTGTCCGCCCCCGCCCCTCCCTCTTTCCTCCCTTGATCCTTCTGCCCCTCGACCCCCCCACCTCCCTCCCTCCGTTCTTCCGTGCCCTTTCTTCTCCCTCTGCCCTCCCTTGATTGGCCCTCTGCCCCCTTGTCCCTCCTTTCTCCCTTCTTGGCGCCCAACCTCGAGGGTGTCTTTCAGAGAGAGAGAGAGAGAGAGAGAGAGAGAGAGAGGACTGACACGCGGTGGCGGGCGTAGGGAATGTGGGAGAAAGAGCGAGAACTGTGGAACGAAACATCTATCATTGATCTTTTGAAATGCCTTGCGCAGAGAGAGAGAGAGAGAGAGAGAGAGAGAGAGAGAGAGAGAGAGAGAGAGAGAGAGAGAGAGAGAGAGAGAGAGAGAGAGAGAGAGAGANAGAGAGAGAGAGAGAGAGAGAGAGAGAGAGAGAGAGAGAGAGAGAGAGAGAGAGAGAGAGAGAGAGAGAGAGAGAGAGAGAGAGCATGAGGAAGGCGGACGGGGGTCGGTGCAGTGGGGAAGCAGGGTTGGCTCAGTTCAGGAGGAGGAGGATGTGCGCAGTGGCGGAGGAGGATCCGTCCAGTAGAAAAGGAGGGAGGAGGTCAGGCGGAGATGAAGGGTTGCCACAGTTGAGCAGGATGGGCGCTGAGGAGGAGGAGGTGTGGCGGAGGGAGCTAGGAGGCCGGGCAGAGGGTGGGAGTAGTTTGCCCGGAAGTTGGGGAAGGTCAAGAGGAGGTCAGGTGGCGGGAGGGAGGAGGGAGCCTGGAGGGAGGAGGGAGCCTGGAGGTACGTAGGTAGGGCATCAGGTGGACGCAGGCCGGAGAGAGAGAGAGAGAGAGAGAGAGAGAGAGAGAGAGAGAGAGAGAGAGAGAGAGACTGCGGGAGGGCTGAGGGAGATCGAAAAGAAAGAGAGAGAGAGAGAGAGAGAGAGAGAGAGAGAGAGAGAGAGAGAGAGAGAGAGTTTGGCACAGTGTCCACGGAGTGATTCTGACATGTTCTGTCCGTTTTTTTCTGTGTATCTTTTGCCTTTCAGGAAATGGCCCAAGATGCACGCCCAGCATGAAGGCTGACATGAGAGCAGCACTACTTGTGGCAATTCCCCTGGGCGAACAGCTACTGCCAATCAGACTGGATTGTGATTACTCCATTCATTAATTGATTAGAAGACCTTCTTACCAAAACAGTGGCACTGTTGCAGACTGAATTGAAGGGCACTTCAAACAACTGCCCCTAGCCATTTTGCAATCACACCATCTCAGCGCACGTGGCAATTGCTATTCACCCCACCCCGGCCCACCGAACTGACTCTCACACCCAGACACACGTGCACTTCCGTATGCACACACACACCCAAAGATTGAAGAATCTGGAAGTAAGCGTCTCTGTCCGTACGCACACACCCAAAGAGTGAAAACTTCAAAGAGGGAAAAATCTGGAAGTAAGCGTCTCTGGGATCCATCCATACGAGATTCGTTGATCATAATCACATTCAGCAATCACAGCAAACAGACTCAGACTCAGACCCGCAATATCACCCAACGAGTGAAAACTCTCCGTCCAAGTAACCATCAGGGATCAATCATACAAGAGTGGTTGATCAATCATACAAGATTGGACGATCCATCATACAAGATTGGTTGATCCATCATACAAGATTGGTTGATCACAATCACAATCACATTCAGCAAACAGAGCAATCATAGCAATCACAGCAATCATAGCAATCACAGCGAACACAGCAGATAGACTCAGATTCGGCATCGTGAGCAAACAGATGAACGGAGCACCGTTTTGCTGAGAAGTGCAGATATGTATCGGGCTGCAAATTTGTAGTGGGTGGGTCATTTCACACAATCCAAAACAAGAATCGAGGATTTGCAAAGAAAACGCTCGCGGCATAAATAAGAAAGGGGAAAAAAAGAAGGTCGAGCGGTATAACAGGTCATCTAGCAATCAGTCTATAACAGGGAATCGATGATTTCCAGAGAAAACGCTCACAGTATAAGAAAGGGGAAAAAAAAAGGTTCGCTAATAGAATGGAGCCAACAGGTGGCCTGCTAGGGGTGGGGAATTTTTTCGCCATCCCTAGCAGAACCAGCTGAGTTCTTTTTTTTATTAAAAAAAAAAAAAGGTCATCTAGCAGTTAGTATAACAGCTGAATTTTTTTTTTTTGGTGCTTTACCAAGAAGGTCAGTGGAATGATGTTATCTCAAGGCTGCTGGCTTTGAGATAGCTGGGGGGGGATAAAAAAAGGGAAGAGCAGCTGCGTATGGCAGCCTGAGCGCTATAGACTCAGGGCATACTCAAGTGAGCGCTTTCGTGGACGTATCTGACCTCTTTTACGGCCGGATGTTCCACAGGTGAGTTTAAAAAGTCCCACGAGGACTTTCCTGGATGCATCTGGCCTTTTTTATGGCCCGATCTGGATGCACCTGACCGGAATTACGACCACCACAGGCAAGTTGAAAAAGTCCCGGTCTCAGTATGGGCGGCCTTGCTGCACCACTCACCAAATGTGCACAATCAGAATGAATCTTTCACTAGAAGCTCTCTCTATTTCACTCTAGTCTATTCTACTCTGCTCTTTTTTTATGGCCCGACCTGGATGCACCTGACCGGAATTACGACCAGGATGCGAAGTTGCAAAGCCGTAACGTTTTTCGGTTGTGAACTTGGTCAGTAGTGTGGGGATGCCCGTGCCCGGGGAAAACAAATGGGAAAACTGAGCCTCTGGATGTCCTGTCTACTCTTCTCTCTACTGTCTATTTCACTCTTACTCTACTCTTCTCTCTATTCCACTCTCCTCTTCTCTATACCCTTACTGTAATCTCTATTCTCAGCTATTCCACTCTCCTCGTCTCTCTACCCTGTACTGTAATCTCTATTCTCAGCTACTCTCAGCTATTCTCAGCTACTCTCAGCTACTCTCAGCGACCCTCAGCTCTCATACGTCGTAGTACGACGAGGAATGCTCCCCCTTTCTGGCGAGGGTCCGACTATTCATGTCCGATCTGAAGCAGCAGCTCAAGCTTGACGAATGCGCAGCAGAAGCGAAAAGGCAATCAACGCAATCAACGCAATCAAGGGAAGAGAGAGGCCGATATTAGGTGTCGAATTTGTTTTCAGATCAATTAATTTTTAATTATTTAGTTTTTTTTTTTGCTGCAATTTTTAATTAGTTAGTTGGTGTGAGTGATTTGCCTAGTAAATTGAAGTTAATTCCGTAAAAAGAAATAAAAAATAAAAATGTAATTAGTATCCGGTCGGAATTTACCGAATGTCCAACAAAAAAAGGAGAAAATAAGGAATTTTAATTAAACAAGGAATTTTACTGTAATTAAAGAAGACGAGCAAACGATTGAGTCTCTTGACACCAACAGAAAAAAAAAAAATTTAGACGATAGACGATGGCGATGGGCGACCCGCGGGTTTCGTCTGCTAAGGCAATGATGAAGGCGGTGCAGAGTGTTGGGCAGGTGGCGAGGTCGTTCCTTGGTTCTATTCCAGATCGTCTGTACCAGGTCCAATCTTTGATCCAGCAGGTTCAAGAAGTCGGATCTGTTGTGGAAGCGACGGCGAAATTACGGCAGTCTCTGCCTGACAGCCTGCATTTTATTTATCATCATGATAGCAAGACGGGGGTGCAGAGATTTGAACTGTCTGTAGGTTCCTTCCGCGGCGGCGACGGCGAGGCGCCGCCGCTGAAGCCGCCGATGATGTTATCATCCGGCGGAGCCTGGTGGAGCCAGTCGGGATATGCGCAAGGGGGGGAGGAATCTGGTGTGCGTGACACGTGGCAGCGTCAGTTCCTTGCCTCTCGATTTGGCTTGCCAATCGTTGTAAGTATATTCATCGTAATGATGATGACAGCGCTCTACTGGGTCCTCGTATCAACAAGAAGAAGGCGTTCTGATCTCCTCCTCCGTGTACTGAAAGCCACCACCATCTCCTTCTCCTCTTTCTCCATCAGATGGATTAGCCATCGTCTGCTTCACCTGTGTCCTTCCTTTATTCGTCCTCGTGCTCTTGATCCCGATCCCGACCTTTGTGCCACACTTCGTGATCCCCTGGTCGCCAGTAACAATAACGATCCCGACAGACGTCATTCTGCCTCTGGTAGCGATCACCAGCAAAGCGATGGGTACTTGAGACGAGGAGGAGGAGGAGGAGGAGGAGAGAAAGATGAGGATGACTGCGGCTCTTCGAGAAGAGGAGGGAGAGGTGGTTGCCGCGGGAACGGTTTCGGGAAAATGTCGAGATTGCTCGCCAGCCCGAGAGAGAGGGACGCCCCCGAGAAAGATGATACGCTGTCGCCGCCGCCGCCGCCGCCGCCGCCAACGCGGCGAGAATCGTCGTCATCGCCTTTGTCGTCGTCGAAGGCCACGTGGCGCTCGTCCAAACGTCTTTTCTTCAGACCAATCAGCTACCGAGCGGCAGCGTCGCATGGCAGTCGAAGTAAGACGGACAAATCTGTTGTTGTCATCGGCAATTGTGCCGGCGTCGATTGGCGGGAAGCGTACGTGTCCCCTTCCGCTCCCATGCAGGGGGAGGAGGGGGAGGAGAAAACCTCGGTCTTGGAGAGAGGTGGGTGCGAGAGGAATAGCCACGTGGCGTTCGTTGGAGGGGAGGAAGGAGGAGGGGGGGGGATGGAAAGGGGGGAGGAGGGTGCGGAGAAGCCGGCGGAAGATCGCGGAAGAAGAAGCAAGGAAAAGGAGGTGTCTGTGAATCTTCCCGCCGAGCCGGCGACACGTGGCAGCACCAGCAGCTCGACGTGGCTGGCGGGAAAAATTTACAACTGGTCGACGTGGAAGACGTCGGATGTGCACGCCGATGTGAATTCTCTTGGCTCATGTACGGATCCATCGTCGTCGTTTTGTCCCGAGCGGCAGGGGGAGGTGATTCCCTCGCTGGAGGGCAATCTCCCGCCAAACAGGATAGCGATTGGAGTGCCTGTTGTTGGTGCTCCCGCTGGTCTCCCCGCTTGTCTTCCGCCGCCTTCTGCGCACGGCGTGGCGGCAGAGATGTCCTGGACAGGAGGCTGGTGGGGGCAGCGCGCCACGGCTGCGCCGCTGGCATTCGCGTCTTCCACCGCGCCGTCAGCGCCGCCAGCCCCGCCGCCGCCGATACCGCAGCTGCCGCCGGCGGCTGTGAAAGAGGGGCGGGAAGAAGCCATCGGCACCGTGACGGCGCGTCGTCGGCGCTTCCGCACGGGACTTGGCGGCGCAATAAGCGGGATTCTCCGGAGACGCGCGGCCCACAAGCGCGACATCGTGGCGGCGGGGAACGGCCCCCCCCCCTTTCCCTCCCTGTGATTAATTAGTAAGCGCCACTCGTTCCGTTCCCCCTTCTGCTGCAGATGCCCTTGCTGACAGTATCGCTGATTGGTCGTGGATGGGGGTGCGCCGCCAATGGACAGCCATCGCTGGCTGTTTGTTAACGACGGCGGTGGCGGGAAAGGGGGTCTGATTTCTCCTGCTGCTCCGCTCGCTGCGCGCCAATCGAGAGCGCGGGAAAGGTCGGCATCCTCAGGGTGCATCCATGTGGCCACCGCCTGACGATCCGCTTGCTGTGCGCCAATCGACAGCGCGGGAAAGGTCAGCATCCTCAGGGTGCATCCATGTGGCCACCGCCTGACGACCGACCTCCTCCCCCTCTCCCTTCCTGTCCCTTCCTCGATGGGCTTCTTCGCTCCACTAGGTAGTCACCAAGTGTGCGAAATGAGAATGAATCTTCGGCTCGAACATGGAAAGATACAGTGCCATATATTTTTGTCTTTTGAGCCATGTGGTGAGCAGTGGAGCGATAGGCCCTTTCAATGTATCGGCCAAGCTTTGGGGGTTACGCCCTAACTACTTTCCATATTAGGAATAATATGGGAAGTTTGGCGTGGACATACGATCACCCTCGCCCATGTGTTCTCGCGGCGAGGACGGCTACTACGGTGGACACGACTACTTTCCATATTAGGCATGAAAAGTCCGGTGTGGGCATTGTCACTCTCTAAACCCGCGTCTTGGCGGGAAAGGTTTTTATTGGCGGGAAATGTTTTTATTGGTGGGAAAGGTTTTTATTGGCGGGAAATTTGGTGGGGCCCTCGTGGCTTTTTGATTGCCATAGCAAGGCTGCATGGAGATGGGACTGTAGCGAAGAGAAGCGGGGAGCATGAGTAGTGAAAGAGAGAGGGTAGGGTGATCTCTCTTTTTTTTTTTGTTTTGAATGAAGACAAAGAAGAAGGGTATGGGGGGGATCATCTTTGGATGGGCAAATGTGAAAGTTCTGCGCTTGTTGGGAAAGTAGCCGAGACTGTCTGGGAGTCATAATTGGTCGGTTGGATATGACGCGTGATGACGTGGCTTAATCACACGTGGTGTGGTAGGGAACGCCCCACAGCGGCAGCGGCGGCGACATTACCCTAACCTAACGACTACTCTACCTTATACCTCAGGCCTCCTCTCTCTCTCTCTCTCTCTCTCTCTCTCTCTCTCTTTCTCTCTCTTCTCCATGCCTCTCTCTCTCTCTGTAGCGTGCTCTCTCTCTCTCTATTTATGTGTGCTACACACTGTACACAGAATGGTAGGGAACGCCCCACAGCGGCAGCGGCGGCGACATTACCCCTAACCTAACGACTACTCTACCTTATACCTCAGGCCTCCTCTCTCTCTCTCTCTCTCTCTCTCTCTCTCTTCTCTCTCTCTCTCTCTGTGTAGCGTGCTCTCTCTCTCTCTCTCTCTTTCTCTCTCTCTCTCTTTATGTGTGCTATACAGAATACAGTGGCTTTTCTTGAGTGGTTAATGGAGGAAGGGCGGTTTAGGGTTTAGGGTTTACTAACGACTACCATCTTTGCCCCGAACACAACGCCCCCTCATTTTGACTGCACCTGACCCGAAATATAGCTTGTTTACTTTCATTATCAGGGTGCGTTATGTTCGGGGTAAGAAGATAGTGGAGGTAATCTTTGGCGAAGTTATGGCTAAGCTTATGTGGCCAGGCCCGAGGCGAAGGGCATGCACACCAGTTAACGCTAATGCATCTGGTTCTGTTTGCCGGTCACATTGGTCGAACACTATCCAATGTGTGGATGTCGTGTGAGATGAGGGCGGGAGACGGAGAGATGGAGTTGGGAGATAGAGAGATGGAGGTGGGAGAGATGAAGGGATGGAGGTGGGAGATAGAGAGATGGAGGTGGGACATGGATAAGCGAGAGTGAGATTGGTGACGGAGATGGAGATGGCGATGCTTCGAGGAGATTTCTCGTGGCGCGTCCAGGTGTCACGATGCCGACCCTGTCCTGATTGTTGCAATTGATGATAATGACTTTTTTTTTTTTTTTTTTTTTTTGAGGTGACGAACCAAGAATTAATTCTTTTTTTTGCCTATTACCGAGATTTGTTGTATTTTTCGGATGACGTCAGTGAATCTTCAGGGAAGCGACTAATTTACGTGTCTCTTGTCGGTTCCTTTGCGGTCTTAATTGAAAGGATTATTAATTATCTGTCTTTTTTCGATTTCTATTTTTAGAGAGACTTGTCTGAGGAGCCTCCCCTTCGACAGTCGGTTCCCACTGCGTATCTTCTCTCTCTCTCTCTCTCTTCTGTCTCATCTTTATCCATGTGGCCACCACCGCCAGCAGATCACCATCTTCATTGCCCTCTGTTCCCCCCCCCTAACCGGGGCTTTATAGACACGGGCTTTCCCTGGTTGGAAGCAAAGGGGATCTATTGGTGATTAGCAGTGAGCTGTAGGCTAAGTATGCCTCATGGGGTGTGAGTTGTGTGAATGAATCTGGTTGCTGATGCAGTCGGGTGCATCCAGGAAAGTGTCTGAGTGTGTGCGTAGTATTTATTTCGGACCTCTGGTGCTCGAAGTTTTTGTATTTTTTCACAGTTTTTAGTACTTTTTTCCAGTTTGAAATTTTAGCTTTTTTTTTTTGTGTGTAATGTTCTTATTATTAGTTATTAATTTGATTGATTCTTAATAATTTCGAGATAAATTCGTTATTTATTCCATTGGGATTTGGGACAGTTTTCTGTGGAAAAGCTCCTACGCTGCTTTATGTTTTAATTCATTGAGACGATTTTTTTCTCTGGGAACTGCAATTCAGCTTTTTTTTTTTTTTTTTTTTTTTCCCCTTAATCAATTTGAATCATTTCATATTTCATTTTCTGATCAATAATCATGGTATTTTTCAATTCCAATTTGTTTTCGTATTTTTCATTCTATATTCTCCATCACGTCGGTTTTTTTTTTCTTTTTTTTTTTTCTTTTTCTTTTCCCGTGCGTCTTCGTTTACCTGCGGTTTGCTTGGTGACAATGGATGGTCAGGGATGACATGGCTTGTTTTTCTCCTCCTTTTTTTATCGCTTTTTTTTTTTGGTTGTGCAATCTAGGGTGAATTTCAAGTAGCAGCGGGATAAAGCTCAGATTTGATCCAAATTCGGGGGGCGAAAAGGAAAAAGAATGAAAGCTCACAGATTTGAGCTAATTGTGACAATGCGAAAAAAAAAAGAGAAGCTTAAACGATGCTTACTTTTCAGATTTGAGCGAATTGACAATCACCTGTCCAGCAGATCTGTAAGCTTGATGACTGACAAACTAAGGGTTCAAACCTGAGCTTATCCGGCTGCTACCGTATTCACCCGAATAGAACGCCCGGTAATTATCGTCGTATCTGGGCTGAAAGTTGTGCGAAGTACAGCTATAATGACCGGGCGTTATATTCGGGTGAAGACGGTAGTGAAATTTTCACCCCCTGAAAGACCCATCTTTCCAGTTTTCCTTGCCACCCCCCCCCCCCCCCCTCCTCCCCCCTCTTTCGCTAAATGTAGAGCTGGTTCCCACCTTTGTCCTTCTTGTAGGCTTTGGCTGCAGGTGAGGTAGATTCAGGACACTGACTTGATTCAGCAGCCATGTCGATTAAGTCTCCAACCGACGCTGAAGTTCACGAAAGTAGACGGAGGCTCAAGCTTGTGTATCAGTCGGCCAATTCCGCAAAGCACGGCGGTGAGTTCAAGTTGCACTAAAAATCCAAGCAGCACGGACCGCCGATCCACGAAGCACGGTGTCCAATTGAAGAAGTGCGGACCGCCGATCCGCGAAGTGCGATGGCCAATTCAAGTTGCACCAAAGCACGAAGCATGAAACACCAATTCACGTAGCACGAACCACGGATACGCAAACTGTGAAGCACTAATTCACGCAGGATGAAGCGCCGATCCACAAACCACGAACCACCAATCCACGAAGCAACAAGCACCAATTCACTAACAACGAAGCACCAAGTTCACATTGCACGAATGCACGAAGCATGAACCGCCAAGTTTATGTAGCATGTAGCAGGGAGAGGGGAGAGGGTGAGAAGACAGACACAGAGAGAGAAAAAGAGGACGTAAGTTGAGGCTCGAAGCAAGTGCTACCAATTCACGAAGCACCTAGCACGAAGCACCGAACTCACGAAAGCATGAAGTGCCAAGTTTATGTAGCACCAAGCACCAAGTTCACAGAGCACCAAGCGCCGAGTTCATGAAGCACGAAGCACCAAGTCCCGGCGCACGAAGCACGTGCCCAGTACACGTACCACCAAGCACCAAGCACCACGTCTACGTAGCACGAAAAGCACTTGCCACCAAGTTCAGAAAGCATGAAACCAGTACACGTACCACCAAGCACCAACCACCACGTCCACCCACGTAGCACAAAAAGCACTTGCCATCGGTTCACGCAGTGCACAGACGCACACACAGACACACACACACACACACACACACACACAGACACACACACAGAGAGAGAGAGAGAGAGAGAGAGAGAGAGAGAGAGAGAGAGAGAGAGAGAGAGAGAGAGAGAGCACTGAATGGCGCTGAACCAATCACCGAGGATTGAGCACCAAGCACGCGAACACTGAGCACGGACACACCAATCACTAAGGATTGAGCACCAAGCACTTGAACACCGAGCACCGACACGCAGAGCACGTAGAGAACCAGGTTCACATAGAGCACGTAGAGGACCGAGCACACACACACACACACACACACACACACACACACACACACACACACACACACACACAGAGAGAGA